TTTGAACAGTTTGCTTTTGAAAACAGAAATAGTTCATAAACCATTTTAGCTCAGTGTCACAAATGCTATAAAAAGGAAATTTGCAGAGAAGACTAGAGTGGCTAAATCAAAAAGTGATTTGTTTGCAATGAACAGGCACTTGTGATAAATTGAAACTTCATTGTTTTTTACTCGTCAAAAGATGTCAGATAGTGGACTTTCAAAAGTTGTGGTTGAATTTCAATTGCATGCACTTACCTGTATTTAACCATGTATAATATGCACTTTTTTTCTACAAAAATTACCATCAAAATTGAGGTGCGTATTATACATGGATTCCATTGTTTGTCATGCACGTCCTAATTTGTGTACGTTGGAAACAACAAAAAAGTGACACATTTAAAGCTTTGATTAAATAACTTGTTTTCAATGAAAAAATATAGGTGCATATTAAGTTTTTACTCTAAAATTAAGAGGAAAGACAAAAATCACTAAATATTTTTGCAAGTGCAAACAGGCATGTGGATCAGATTTCAAAGTGAACATGCAAATTTGGCCGCATATGAAGATATGTTATGTTACATGGAATTTTTCAATGAGAAGCAAGAAAGAAATGAGCAAGAAATATTTCAGGACAAAAGCTTTATTTAAAGTAGTTCTTTATTTGCTGTTATTAGCGGAAAACGTGCGAATTTCTTATGTGCACAGAGCACGTGCAGTGGAATTCATTGTGGTTATATTTTTGTTTACTTGACTTTATGGCCAGAATATTGCATTGTGTTAGTTTGAAAATTCTAAATATACGACAATATGACACAAAATCTTCAATACTTTTTAGACATATTGTCGCTCAGTCATAATATTTACCAGGCCATGGAATCGTCAAATCAGCTAGGCCTCGCTTGAAGTCCTAAAGTTTAATTCAATAATGTCATAAATAACTAAGTAGCAAAAGATATTAGTGTTGATGATATGGTAAATTTCTTATTTTTGTTGTCTTAATGAATAATTGTACAGAGATTGAACTTGTCTCTTTTGCAGTGAAAAACATTTTTTTCGGATAAATTTGGTTAAAAACAAAGGTGCGCACTATACACGGGCACATATTATACACGGGTAAATAAGGTACTAAATATTGTTGTTTAGTAATGGGATGCTAGCCCAGTTACATGTATTCTGACAGGTTGTGAACTTCTTTAGCTTCTTACTCACTTATTACATGAACTATAATAATATAGTAAAATAATCAAAAATGGCGTAAATGAATGGATTATAGCTAAATAGATGGTGCTGGCTGACTAACCACACACCATCTGCTAGTGTACCCAGTAAGAATTAGTAACTATTTCCTTTTCCAAACTCCACTCTTTCCCTCCTTACTTAAGCTTTCTCAAATTTCTATTAAGGTGGCTCGTACTAGTTTCCTCGCGTGGGGAACAGATAACTCTTGCATCACGCGCGAGAGAAATGTGTGAGAGAAACGCGAGATTAAAAGACGAAAATTTAAAACAAAGATGGCGGCGCGTGGATTTTTTTCTGCTTATGTGAGTTTACCTAAGAGCTTGTATTTGATGTGTTGAGCAGCCAGTGTGAATGTAGTAGATAGAAACTAAGATAACGAAGACGATTTTCGGAGAAGTAAAGGTTGCTTCACTTCACATTTAAAAGAAATATTCAACCGATATGAAATCTTGCGATGGCTAAAAAAGAACTCAAGCGAAGGATAATCTACCTAAAGTGGAAGACGACTTTGAAACCTCGAGGAATGTAATATGATATTAGCCAGAAGTCTTGTGTAGGATTTTTAAGATGAGCCCGGGAGGCTGTCTTTGACAGCTGTTTAATGATTTTCTTGGCAGTAAACGTCTGTAAACATTAGATCGTAGGCGCTCGCGCGAGCACACGCAATTGTCAGCGGTAGCTAAAATAGATCATGAGCAAATGTTGATCTTATAGAATCCAGATTTTTAAATGTGCGAGAACGCGCGTGGAAATTGATAAACTCACGAAAGCTATTGCATGG